GCTTTTAAACTATTCCCCGAAACACCCCCGATCGGCAAAAATCATTGTTTCCCATCGGTGTTTCATTGCTTTCCGCGTGGTTGCCCGTTCCGCCTCCCGACGGTTGGAGACGGCCCGCGAGGCGTGCATGAGGGCCCCAGCGCGCCCCAAGGCGGCACCAAACCGGCCCAAGAGGCGCCCGAGAGTGCCTGAGAGCGCTGCAGGCGGCTTCCTCACATAGCCCGAACACGCCAAAATGGCCGTAAACAAGGCCCGCAGGCGTCCAAAACGGCCCAAGGTCTCCCACCAGAGTCTCATAGAAACCTCCACGAAAACTCCCACACGGGAACGCTTTCATGTTCCCGGATACAATGCGGGAGCCTGACAGCGCGCCCGTCATTTGAGCAGGAAAGTATCAAGCATTGTCTTCTGTTGCTCTGGAGAGTTTCCCTTGGAAGTGATCTGTGTGTATTTATGCATGCATGCATGCATGCATGCATGTATGTGTGTATATACACATGTAGATCACAGTATACATATACATACATGCACAACCACACATACATATAGTTATACGTTGCCGATGCATATGCATACACATATTCGCATACGTATACGTACACCGACACATATACATGCACACATACATCTACACATACATATGTAGCCACATGCACACACGTATGCATATACTATGCATACGTGTGTGCATGTGTATATACAGTTGCACCTACACATAATATACAACCCATGTACATATACACATACACGTGCATGTACCTGTGCATATAGAATTGTTTATCAGTATACACAAATACAGCTATATCTATACATATGCACATACACATGCACACATTCGTATACTTATGCATACACATATGCATACACATTACACATGGATATACATATACATAAACATATATATTTATATACATACATATACATATGCATGTGCGTATGCAGATCCATATCCATGCACACATACATATATACATACGTACATGTACATTATAATCACACACATGTACATAGCAAGCGTGCATATTAACATGTTTTATATGTGTTCACCTCCATACATGCTTACATCCATTTCAACATTTTCATATACATATACCTGAGGAAGCAAATTGGGGGGCCCAGGAGCCACGGCCTCGAACCCCCAATCTGGGCCCCCCCCCAGGGTTTCCCGAACCGCTGCCTGGTCGCTCAAGACAGCCCTTGGGGCGCTCCAGAAGCGCCAACGATAGCGGCTCCAAAGGCCTCCAAGACGCCCCGAGAGAGCTTCGAGAGGCACCCCAAGAGGGCCCAAACAGGCCCAAATCATCCAATTCCGTGCAGAAGACGTACATTTTTAAGACATTCGCGATTTTGGTGTCCACTGCGTCCAAGACGACCCAACTGCTCCCTTAAGATCGCCCCTAGACGGCCACATAGGCCCCCAAAGAGGCATCAAAGCTGCGGAAGAGAGGCTGAAGTCCAGTGTGGGTCACTACTTCAGTGGAGTTGTTTGTAACCGAGTCGCACCACCCAGTGAATATTAGTGGTGATGAGGAGGAAGGAGGAACAGCAGGTTCTTCTGACTTCTTTTAAGGCATTTCAAAGTCTCTGCGCACGGCTCGCATCCGAACGAGGGAGAACGCAGGGTACGGGACAGAAAGGGACGTTGGGGCTCGGTGAGGGCCCCCAGACGCCCTGCATATATGCAGGCGTACGGGAGGCCCTGGGCACATATTCCCCCACGACATGTTTGATCCCGTCCGGGGCCTCCCAGAGGACACCAAAAAGCGACCAGGGCCGAAGACGCCCAAATATTATTTCAAGACAGTTCACGAGACCCCGAAGACTTCGAAGGCTCCAAAATGAGCCCCGAGAGGGCCTCAGAAGGCGAAAATGGCTTAATCCCCAAGGGGAACGGTGCATCGTTGGATTATTCTCATTCTGAATTTTCACAGCGCCCAAAACGGCCCAAGATGCCCCGCAGATCGCCCCAAGACGGCCCAAGAGGCCTTCTAGAGAGCCCCAAAACGGCCCAAGAGAGCTCCAATACGGTCCAAGAGGCGCCCAGGACGGCCACACAGGGCCCCAAGATGAGTCCAAGAGGGGGAACTCCATGTGACATTTCGAGCCGCCAGGAGTGGGCCCCCAGGGCCGCAGCAGGAACCCAAGAGGTCCCCAAGGTCCACAATAGATATCCCAAGAGGCCCCCTCATGGCCCACATGAGGCCAACATAAGCTTCAAGACTCTCTCCACGAGGCGCCCGAGAAACATGCCGCATGCCAAGGAAACCCGAATTATAGGTATCCAAGGATCCTATGGTCCAGAACTCAGGTACAGCAGCGGTATGGCCCGAAGGCCATGTACATATACCTATACGACCACCCTTCGGGTGATAAGGAGGTTCGGGGGGGAGGAACCAACGTCTCACTCGATCGGTCTCACTATCGATCTCACTATCTATCTCAGTATCGGTCTCGCTCGATCGATCTCCCTCGATCGATCTCACAATCGATCTCACTCGATCTATCTCACAATTGATCTGACAATCGATCTCACAATCGATCTCACAATCGATCTCACAATCGATATCACATTCGGTCTCACTATCGATCTCACTATCGATATCACACCCGCTCTCACAATCAACGTCATCATCATCATCAACAACAACATCAACATCAACATCATCATCACCAACATCATCATAATCGGGACACCGTCCTCATCATCAACACCAACATCATCATCCTCATCATCACGGGCATCAACATCACCGGGACACCACCATCATCATCATCATCACCATCATCACAATCATCATCATCAGCATCATCATCATCAGCAACATCGGGACAGTCATCGTCATCGTCATCATCAGCAGCAGCATCATCATCGAGACACCATCATGATCACCATCGTTATCATCATCATCATCATCGTCATCATCATCAGCAGCATCATCATCATCGGGACACCATCATCCTCATATCATCCTCATCATCGACATCATCCTCATCAGCATCATCAACATCATCATCAGCATCATCATCGTCATCATCTGGGCACCATCATCATCATTACCAACATCAGTATCAACATCATCATCATTTTCATCATCATCATCATCATCACAATCATCATCATTACCATCGGGACGGCATCATCATCAACATCATCATCACCATCATAATAATCATCATCATCGGGACGCCATAATCATCATCAAATTCATCATCATCTACATCATCATCATCATCATCATCATCATCATCATCGGGGCACAATCATAATCAGCATCATCAAAATCAACATCATCATACTCATCATCATCGGGACACCATCATGGTCATCATCATGATCATCAACATAATCATCATGATCATCATCTTCATCATCGGGACACCATCAGCATCAGCATCATCATCATCGTCATCATCATCATCAGCATCATCATCACCGGGACACCATCATCCTCATATCATCATCATCATCATCATCATCATCATCGTCGTCGTCGTCGTCGTCATCATCATCATCAGCAGCAGCATCATCATCATCAGCATCACCATCAACATCATCATCATCATCAGCATCATCATCATCCCATCATCATCATCATCATCATCATCATCATCATCATCATCATCATCATTCCGGGACACCGCGGGACACCGGCGGGACACCGCGGGGCACCGCGGGACACCGCGGGACACCGCGGGACACCGGCGGGACACCGCGGGCCACCGGCCGCCTGGAAGGGAGACATTTGGTCCGGCCGCGCCTCAGCCACACGGGACTTTCGCGGGACACCGGCCGCCCGGAAGGGAATCATTTGGTCCGGCCGCGCCTCAGCCACAGGAGACTTTTTCTCGCCCGCCCACGCAGCTTCGCCTCGCCCGCACGCACGGCACGCACGAACACGAAATCGAAATCGATTTCCCGGTAGGGGGGCTCTCCGTTCCACTTCGATCTCACCTCCTCACCTCCGATATACATGTGTACAACACATATACACACGTTCACGTATTTGGTTCGGCGACTGACCCATTCCTATGCAGCCATGTGTTGCGCAGGGCGCGGGTCTCTCTTCATACACTGTGCGCCGCGGGGCAATGCGGGAAGATGGCTGCTGCGGAGCACGCGTCCACGGGTGTGCTGAACTCCTGAATTCGACCCTCGCGAGAACGCCCCCATTTGAGGCTACAGGTGCACCTCCTCCAGGCACGACCCGTACGAGGCATGTTCCGAAATGAGCGGGGGTTCGCCATGCGAAGCTGCCCCTTGGTGCCATAGGTGGAGCTCCTTCTGGAGCATGGTTCGCGTGACGGGACTGTCGACATGGGCAGGGGAACGTTGTACGAACTTTTCCTTTGGGCCTTTAGGTGGCGCTCCTTATGTGCATGATCCGCGTGATGGGATGTGCCCCAATGGCCAGGGGGGTGGCGCGGTGCGAACCTTGCCTTTTGGGTCGTGGGTGGAGATTTCTGTGGGCCACGATCCGCGTGCGAGGTGTGCCGAGGTAGACGGAATGGCGGGATGCGATCTTTGTGTCCAGGGCCGTCCGTGGAACCCCACGCGGGCCACGACCGTGTGAGAGGTGTAGCGAAGTGAGCGGGGCGACGCTATGAAGCTTCATTCTAGTGCAGCAAATGCAGCTATTTGCCAGTCGCGATCCGCGTGTGGGGCGTGCCACTATGCGAACCTTGTCTCTGGGGACGTAGGTGGAGCTCCCCATGGGGCGCGATCCCTGGAGGGGTGTGCCGACAAGTGCGGGGTGGACGCTCGCCAAGCCTGTCTCTGGGGCCGCAGGTGGAGCTCCCTGAGGGCACGACCCGTGCGAGAATCAATGTCCTCCAATACCCCACACTCTAGACTACACTTAGAGCTTGCTAGAGCCCAAGCGCGCGAAGTGCGCATATATTTGGATATAGTGTTCAAATGTGCATCTATGATGTATGTCAACGCTCTTCTCTTTCTCTCCTCCGCCCCCCCTCTCTCGCCGATCATGGGGCGTCGGGGCAAGGCGGGCAACCCAATGAAGGAGGTTCTGCCTTCCATGGCTGTGCAGGCCCCCCTGCCGCCGCCCCGCCCCCCGAAACCCTGCAGGGGTGTCGCGCGACAGGCACCTTGGCGAGGCAGGATGAGGAAGAGGCGGCGGCAGAGGAAGAGAGGAGCAGGCGGAGGCGGAGGCGGAGGCGGGGGCAGAGGACGGAGGAGGAGAATGCGGATGAGGCTGAAGATGATGACAATGATGATGGTGGTGGTGATGGTGATGGTGATGGTGATGGTGATGGTGAGAGTGATGATGCTGCTGCTGCTGCTGATACTGATGAAACGGTGGCTGATGCTGATGCGGCTGCTGATGATGATGACGACGATGATGTTGATGCTGATGTTGATGATGATGATGATGCTGACGATGATCGTGATGGTGATCGTGATGGTGATGATGCTGATGACGACGATGATGATGATCATGCTGACGACGATAATGATAGTGATGATAATGATGCTGATGAAGTTTATGATTATGCTGATGCTGCGGATGATATTGGAGAGGCCTGACGGCCGGTGCCGCCGACCCTGATCGAAAGGGCTAGGAGTGGGGGGAGGTAGCGGAGGAGGAGTAGGAGGAGGAGGAGGAGCAGCAGGAGGAGGAGGAGGAGGAGAAAGAGGAGGAGGAGGAGGAGGAGGAGGAGGAGGAGGAGGAGGAGGAGGAGGATACGGAGGAAGAGGAGGAGGAGGAGGAGGAGGAGGAGTAGGAGGAGGAGGTGCATCCTTTGTGTGCCCGCTCGAAGAAAGTGCGCCCTGGGAGTGTGATATTCTGACTTGGGACGTGCTCCCGGAAGAGGAAGAAGTGCATCTCGGGCGTGCCCGCTCGAGGAAAATGCGCCCTAGGGGGGTGGTATTTTGACTCGGGGCCCGCTCCCGGGACGCCTCTGCGGGAGGAGGAGGAGGAGGAGGAGGAGGAGGAGGAGGAGGAGGAGGAGGAGCAGGAGGAGGAGGAGGAGGAGGAAAAGGAGGAGGAGGAGGACCAGGAGGAGGAGGAAGTGCATCCCGTGCGTGCCCGCTCGAGGAAAGTGCGCCCCGGCGGGCGTCGCATCTGCCCCGGCCCCCCCCCCCTCCCCCCCCCCCTGCGGGGAAGGGATCAAAGGGAAGGGGCTTCCCTTCGACTCCACTACGACGTCGTTTAATTTCGCTTTGGATAGCGCGCTTGAGGAGGAGAGCCCTGGGAGGGGGAGAGCGGAGACGACGGAGACGACGAGTCGAACGGAGAAGCCCCTCACACCCGCCGACAGGGTCGGCGGATTGATGCTGACGATCTTGGTTATAGTGATGATGGTGATGACGGTGATGATGATGCTGCTGTTGATAATGATGATTGTGGTGGTGGTGGTGGTCATGCTGATGCTGATGATGGTGATGGTGATTGTGATGGTGATGCTGCTGCTGATGCTGATGGCGATGACGATGTTGATGTGCACGATGGTGATGGTGATGCTGATGATGATGGTGATGACGATGCTGCTAATGCTGCTGCTGATGATGATGGTGATGGTGGTGAGTATGATGATGTTGCTGATGATGGATGATGATGCTGGTGATGCTGCTGTTTCTGCTGGTGCTGCTGCTGCTGATGATACTGAGGCTGATTATGCTGTTGACGATGATGACGACGATGATGGTGCTGGTGATGATGAGGTGGATGATGCTGATGATGCTGTAGGGGAGGATGCCGATGATGATGTTGATGATGCTGGTGGTGTTGATGATGATGGCGGTGGTAGTGGCGGCGTTGATGCTGATGATGATGGTGATGCTGATGCTGGTGATGACGATTATGTAGGTTATGGTGGTGGTGACCATGTTGATGGCGATGCGATGATCACGTTGATGTTGATGCTGATGGTGATGATGATGGTTGTGATGATGAACATGAAGCTGATGATGCTGATGCTGACGATGATGAGGAGGACAAGGACGATGACGATGATGCTGATGAGGATGATGATGAGGATGCTGATGCCGATGATGATAGTGAAGCTGATGCTGATGATGATGATGCTGATGATGCTGCTGATGATGATGATGGTGGTGATGCTGCTGGTGCTGCTGGTGCTGCTGCCGATGATGATGACGATGATGATGATAATAATAATAACGATGATGATGATGATGATGATGATGATGATGATGGTGGTGGTGGTGATAGTGATGATGATGACGATGATGATGATGATGATGATGATGATGATGATGATGATGATGATGATGATGCTGATGATGGAGGTGGTGGTGGTGGTGGTGATGATGATGATGATGATGCTGATGAGGATGATGATGGTGGTGGTTGTTGTGGTGGTGATGCTGATGGGGAGGAGGAGGAGGAGGAGGTGGAGGTGGAGGTGGTGGAGGAGGAGGAGGGCGGGGGATGATGAGGAGGAGAAGAATGGTGGTGGCGGCGGCGTGGGGCCAGTTAGGCCGTCTTGAACGCCGTGAGGCCGACACGTCGTATATGCTAAACATGTGCGTTCTCCTAGGGGGAGTTGACTGTGGTTGCCTCTTAGGGCCTTCTTCGGAGGGCCCTTGGGTATGTCTTGGGGCGTCTCGGGCGCCTCCTCAGCCAGCTTGAGCCATCATGGGCGTTGTTGACCGATCATTCGGCGATTCGGGGCCCTCGTGGACCGTCTTGGGCGCCCCTCGGAGCATTCTTGGCCCGTCTTGTGGCTTTCTTGAGTCTTACCAAGTTATGCGGCAATACCCCGGAGACTCGCAGGACTGAGGCTCCAGGGATCCGACCAAGGACCTAGGCTTTAAGGACGCGCCTCAGGGCATGGTTGCGGATCTTCCGCCAGATGTCAGCATGTTCTCGCGTGGCCAATGCATGGTCGGTGGACCATTCAGCACCCTCTCACAGCCCCCAGGAGATCCGAGTCAGCAGGCCCCAGGGAAGGAGACGGCAGAAGCCCCCGCAGAATCGCATTTCTTTCCAAGCGACCAAGAGACTGACTCGGACCAGGCAGCGGTCCGAACGCAGTTCCTACGGGATGGCCGCCATCTCCAAGCTGGACCGCCGACCATTTATCTCCTAAGCGCACGCCAAGCGCTATGCATCTCAGATCAATCCAAGAATGCAACAGGGCTCCAGGTACCAGGATCCGAGTTCCAGTCCCCCCAAAACGAGGTGGGGAGGGACATCCGTAGCCATTTTGGCTCAGGCCAGCCTTGCTTTCTGCAGGTCATTGGTTGCGACCCGCCCCGGGTGGACCCGTTTACTCCAAGTTATTATACGGTGCATCGCCATGTTGCCCATAAGTTACTTGAGCGTAGGGAACGTGCAGTTCGTCTTGGCTACCTCGAGGCCCCGCTGATGTTGTTAGCCGATGTGTTCCTCGTCGTATTGCTGCTCGTGTCCAGCCTATTGTCCAGTCGCTGGTGTTATCTGAGAAACAATGATGTTTGCGGGTTTCCTTGTCGCTCTGCTTGAGATGCGACTCGCCACGCCGCCTCCATTCACAGGAAGTCAGCGCGGCCCTTCGCTGCCATCGCGCAGCAAATCGCGCTAAGCACGAATAGAACAAACAGTTCACTGGTTTGTACAAGCATGTTCAATATGTTCAACTTTTGCTGGAGCATCGTCTTCCTTGTCCCCTTTCCTCGCCCAGCAGTGCGACAACGCGTGATGATTGCTCGGTTTGTTCTTCGACCTCTACGTGCTTGGGAGTACCGCGCTCCCCAGTCACATTTGCTTCTCCTTGGCCCCCGACGTCGCCGCGTGTGCCACGATATACCCTACCGGCCGTTTGTCTCCACACTCCCAACGCCCCCGGCAGGGACGAAAGGCTAGTTCAAGACTGCTCCCTCAGCGACCTCCTCGGCGACCCCATCGGCGGCCATCGGGGTGTCTTCTGGTTCGGTTGACAGTATTGTTGTGGCACCTTCAGCTGCATATGTCATGCGTCTATACTCTCAATTGAAACTTGGGCGCCGTAAGCAATTTGTTCAGTGGCTCGCTAGTATGGAACGTCATTGCCGTGGCGCGACCCAGTCCGTTATGTCTTGGTTTTTTTCAAAGCTAGTCCTTTGGGTGCTCGAGAATCGTTGCGTCGTATGGTGACAGTTTGTGGTGATTGCCGGCTTATGTGGGTGGCTTTCTCCGGAGTTGTTGTTTGCTGCGTTCTCTCCTTTCAAATGCAGTTGGACCTGTCTGAGGCCCTACTGGCAGTGAACACTCCATTCCAATGCGCAACATTCGCTCGCAATCTTCGCTCTGGTCTTCCTTCCGGTGTTATCAGGTCTTTTCAATATCGCATGTGGGCTGCGCGCTTGACGTGCAGCTTGTACTCCCTACATTACTTCGCTCTCTCGCATGGAATGTCGCCCCCCGGGGAAAACAAACGAGGTGGGTAGGGGCGAGGGAGGGCGAGGGGTGGATCTCGGGACTTGGGGGAGTTCGGCGCAGTATCTGAGCAAATGGAGATTATCTAGATCCTTTTCTAGCTTCTCGCTGGAGCGGAGTTCGCCGCTTCGCCGCTGACGGAAAAACGTGTTTCGCGTCTGTCCCCCCTTTTCCTGCTCCCCCCTGCCGCAGCTGCTGCTGCTGTTGCTGCTGTTGCTGCTGCTGTTGTTGCTTTGCCGGGTCGCCCCTGCTTCCGTGTACTCCCCCAAATTAGATATCACAACTAGGCCAGGAGTGCCATGGGGTCAATCCTCGAAGAGGCTGTTTCCCAGCGGCAGCTTGCGGAGGACCCAGGTGCATAACCCCAGCGCCTGGGGGGGCCCTTTTGTGTCACAGGTGACGGGAGCGGGGGCCCATTCGGGTGCCCCCGGGCCTTTTTAGGGAGGGCGGAGGAGGACGGGGGGGAGGAGGGGGAGGAGGAGGAGGAGGAGGAGGAAGAGGAGGAGGAGGAGGAAGGGGAGGAGGAGGAGGAAGAGGAGGAGGAAAAGTAGTATGAACAACAAGGAGAAAAAAAAGGACACGAATCATAATCGTAGGAATAAGGAGAACAGGACGGTTTTTCATAATACAAATCATAATATTATCCATCGTAACCTGAATAAAAAGAA